GGGCTCTTGCTTTTTGTTTTGGAGTTTATGTCTCACACTTGTCTGAGGCACTTGTAAGCAAAGCGAACACAAAGACTAGTTCTACTGGGCACTGCTTCTCCCCGCCTTCTTGACAAGAAAATTTTTTCTTAATGAATAACCTACAACATTTACGGTGACAGTCATTGGAAGAATGTTTGCCTAGTTTGGGATTGAGATGGTGATTCCACGAGGTCATCGGACATTAGATCAATGAAGTCAAGCTGTCGATGCGTTCGGTGAACCCTGCTTATCTAGAGGGGATGTATTTGGACTCTAAAGCTCGCTGGTCCGGCGAAAATGCAGAGCGTGGGAAGTCGCGAGCTTGGGTGAAGCTGTGATGTGCATTCAACAAAGCCTTGGCGAAGTTACTGAAGATGACAACAATTTGTGAAAATACTGTGATGAAGGCGCAGATGAAGCCGCACGGTAGAAGCGAGAGCGAAATGAGGGACTCGATGGTGTTTCAGCTTCCCTAAGCGGGCAATGCGTTCAATATCCAGTCACTTATCATTGCTATACAGACCTCCCTTTTCTCCGAAGTCTCATTTAACACTTGTCTGCCCCCTCTGTCTGAATAAATTTTTAGTGATAAGAGCAGCATGCGATACGGTACAGATTTTGTCCGATGGCCGGCGGGCAATTCGGCTAAGCAGGGGCCGAACCCACACTCCCTCCCGAATGAGCCGAAGTGTCCGCCTGCCATCGGACGCCGGGATCTTTGTCAATACGGGTTTGCCGTTGTAATCCACAGCCTTCGTGGTTTTATATTTGGTCGAGTGCTGTATTTTTAGCAGCGATTGGAGCGTAGCGGATATGCTCCCCGGCCCATGGCTGCGAAGTCGAGGGTTCGGATTCTTGGTAGTAATTTTGCATGTTTCCGATCAAACATAGTAAGACAGTTTTAACAAGCTTCCTGCAGAATATGTCTTGAAAACATAAAACATCTGTGAATAAATAGTAAAGATTCTTACAGGAGAAAAAAAAGGACAGACACAAATTTAGCCTGTTGCCAGGATTTTTGACGAAGCAAGCAGGAAGAACCACCCGTTAATTTTTAACATGCCAGTACTTCTTAACGAATTTTATTCATTCGGATAATTCTGCTTGAGAACGCTGAAGTGTTCATAGTTTCCAGTTTTTTTTTGTAAATCTACGAAGGCTTCAGTCTGCAAGCCGAGACGTTCTCAAGCAAAACTATTCTGAGGGAGAACATTTGTGGAGAAATACTGGTATAGTGTCAAACTGCTTAAACTAATGGGTGAATCTATGCTGCCAGCTTTGACCAAAGCTCTGGCAACATGCTAAATTTGAGGCTGTTATCTTTTTTCTCCTGTAACAGGCTTTAATCATTATATACGGATGGACTTTTCTGGAAGGAGTTTGCAGGATACTTGTAGGAAACTGTCTTACTGGGCTTGATCGGAAACACCCAAAATTACCACCACTACCAGAACCCGAACCCTTGACTTCGCAGTCATGAGGCGAGGAGCATATCCGCTACGCTTCTAAAAATGCAGCACTCCAACCAAATAGAAAACCACGGAGGCTGTGTGTTACAACGGCAAACCCGGCTTGACAAGATTCCCG